CAGGCTGGAGTGCAATGGTGTGATCTCGGCTCACCGCAACCTCTGCCTCCCAGGTTCAGGCGATTCTCCTGCCTCAGCCTCCCAAGTAGCTGGGATTACAGGCATGTGCCACCATGCCCGGCGAATTTTGTATTTTTAGTAGAGATGGGGTTTCTCCATGTTGGCCAGGCTGGTCTCAAACACCCGACCTCAGGTGACCTGCTCGCGTTGGCCTCCCAAAGTGCTGGGATTACAGGTGTGAGCCACTGCACCCGGCTGCATCCTTGTTATTTTTTTTTTTTTCACAGCTGCATAGCATGCTGTGATGTGAATGCTCTACAGCAGTTAATTTCACCCTCAGAGATGGACGTTTTTTCCATCTGTTTGTTCTCAGGCTGACGTCACCATACGGTACCTCGTACAAACATCATTTTACACATATGCAAGTGTCTCTGTGGATAAATTCCCCAAAGTGGGATTTCCGGCTCAAAGACTGGGTGCATTTGGAATTTTTACTCGTATTGCCAAATGCTCCCCCTCAGGTGTGAGAGCAATCCACACTCTCTCTAGCAATGGGTAAGAGTTCTGTTGTCCTACAGTCTTACCAACAGACTGTGTTATCGAACTCTGATTTCTTGCCAAAATGACAGGTGAAAAATAGTATCTCAGAGTAGAGAAAATTTGCATTTTCCTGACCACAAGGGAGGCAGAGCAAAGTCCCATGTGTTTTAAGAATCATTAATAGAATCATTAGTTTCCTCTTTACTCTCTGATAACCTCCCTTGCCTATTATACTTTTGGATTATTGATTTTTTCTTTCTTCTTTTTTTTTTAGACAGTGTTTCACTCTTGTCTATGGCCATATTGCCCTGAATGTGCCTGATCTCATCTGATCTCAGAAGCTAAGCAGGGTCGGTCTTGGTTAGTACTTGGATGGGAGACCGCCTGGGAATACCGTGTGCTGTAGGCTTAAAAAAAAATTTTTTTTTTAAAGAAAAAAAAAAGAATAAAAGACAGTGTTTCACTCTTGTTGCCCAGGTTGGAGTGCAATGGCATGATCTCAGCTCACTGCAACCTCCACCTCCCAGGTTCAAGCGATTCTCCTACCTCAGCCTCCCAAGTAGCTGGGATTACAGGCATGTGCCACCACGCCAGGTAATTTTTGCATTTTTAGTGGAGACAAGGTTTCGTCATGTTGGCCAGGCTGGTCTCCTGACCTCAGGTGATCCGCCTGCCTCAGTCTCCCAAAGTGCTGGGATTACAGGCAGGAGCCACCAAGCCTGTCTCATTTTTTTTAATTTTTAATTTTTTTTTTTGAGATGGTGTCTTGCTCTGTAGTCCAGGCTGGAGTGCAGTGATGCAATCTTGGCTCTCTGCTACCTCCACCTCCTAGGTTCAAGCCATTCTCATGCCTCAGCCTCCCGAGTAGCTGAGATTCCAGCACTCACCACCACGCCTGGCTAATTTTATACATTTTTAGTAGAGACGGGGTTTCGTCATGTTGGCCAGGCTGGCGTGGAACTCCTGACCTCGGCTTCCCGAAGTGCTGGGATTACAGGCGTGAACCACTGCGCCTGGCCCTTCTTCGTTTTTAGTTTTTTTTTTTTTTTTTTTTTTTTTTTTTTTTTTT